GGGGTGGGGGGGGGGGGGGGAGGGGGACTCCTGCTACTGGGTACAGCCTGGTAGAGACCTCAGTGGCCCGTGCCCCCACACCTGTGCTCCGGAGCCCTGTGCCCCACTCCCCTGAGCTTCAGGATGAGGCGCCTGCTGTACCTGAAGCAGAAATGTGGGGGGGGGGGCACAGGCCCCTGAGGCCTCCACCAGGCTGCACCCAGAGGCAGGAGCCCTTCCCCCCCCCCCGGCCGCCACGCACCCTTGGGTGGCGGAGAGTTCTGGGCTGCCCAGGGCCTGACCCCACTTCTCTGTCATTGCTAAGCTGAGTCACACTCACCCAGCAGCCAAAGGAACATGGTGTCAGGCCCCAGCCCAGTCTGGGACTCTCTGCCACTGAGGGGGACATAGTGAGGGGCTCCCACCCCCTGGTTCCCGCACGGGCCCCCGGCCCCCCCCCCCACCTATGCTCCGGGCATAGCAGGCAGCCTGCAGCAGCAGCTGCTTCATCCCAGAGCAGAGGTGGGGGGGCACGGGCCTCAGAGCCCCCGCTGGGCTGCACCCAATGGCAGAAGCCCCTCTCCCATGTGCCTCTGGGCAGCGGAGAGTCCCAAGCCAGGGCAGGGCCCAACCCCATGTGAGTCCCCGCTACTGAGCTGAGCTGTACATGGCCAGCTGCAGTGGGGCTCAAGGTGCAGCAACAGCCACCTCTGCCTCTGCCCCCATAGAGATGGGGAGGGAGCCCTTGCACCTCTGGAGGAGCCCCCCTGGGGCTCCAACCCTCCCACCACCCAATGGGACTGGGGCCCTACATACCTTCCCCTGCTCCTTGCTGAACCATAGGTTAGTCCCTCACTATGGGGGCCTCAATCCGGCCCCCACCTCTTCCCTCCCACACTGCTGGAGCTGGGGGAGGCAGGTCTGTGCATGCGCACACGCCCAGCTGTCCCTCCTGCCCAGGATCAACTTAAACAGGCTCCAGGATCAACTGGTCGTGTGAGCCCCAGGTTGGTGACCACTGGTCTGATATGAGGTACTAACTAATCATGCAGTAGCTGGCACTACTCTATAGTAGCAAAGGTGCACAGTCTTTACATGGCGCTTAATGCACAGCAGACTTATTGTGTTGCACATTAGCACAGTTTTTTCTGTGATATGCTAATGCGCAGTACAAGTAGTCTACTGCACATTATGCGTCTCATGTAGATGAACCCAGTATAGCCAAAGAAGCACACAGAGGGTGTTGATTATGTCTTGCTAACTGAAGAAGCTCCACTGCTTTACATATAGAATTATACTGATTTAGTTAAGCCAATGCAAATGAAGGTGTAGATTTTGTTCCTGAAATTTATATTTCAATATTCTATAAGATTTCATTGAAATTGTAAGTTGCTAACAAGAAATACTGTTAACAAAGAGCACCTATACATGTACACTGAGGCTGCTCTGATGCGCTGTAATTAATTAATCGAATCTGGTGGGGCGTGTTAATTACTGTGCTCTAGCAGACTCTAACATCATGTGTATCAGCATCCCTGAGCTGAAAAATGTTTTACAGCATGGGGATGCTGATACATGTGATGCTCTGGCACTCTGGGTGCTTTAATTAGAGTAGCTCTCAGAACTATTCTAATTAA